ATGTTTGGGGTCGCCACTACAGAAAGGATGTGGACAAATTGGAGAGAGTCCAGCCGAGGGCAACAAAAATGGTGAGGGGCTAGGGGACATGACTTATGAGGAAAGACTGAGGGAACTGGGATTAGTTAGTCTGCAGAAGAGAAGACTGGGGGGATTTAACAGCAGCCTTCAGCTACCTGAAAGGTGGTTTGGAAGCGGATGGAGCTATACTGTTCTCAGTGGTGGCAGATGACAGAACAAGGAGCAATGGTTGCAGCAAGGGAAGTTTAGCCTAGATATTAGGAAGAATTTTCTCACTAGGAGGGTAGTAAAACACTGGAACAGGTTACCCAGAGAGGTGGTGAAAGCTCCTTCAAAACCCAACTAGACAAAGCTTTGGCTGGGATGAACTAGTTGGGGATGGTCCTGCTTTGAGCAGGGGGTTGGACTAGATGACCTCCTGTGGTCCCTTTCAACCCTAACTTTCTATGATTTTAAGTAGGGGTGCAGCACCCTGCAAGGAGCATTCTCTCAGCCATGTATTGCTGCCGCTGCATTCCTGGATGCTTATAATACTGTTGGGTCACAGGTAGACTTCTTTGGGGGTCTATGCTGGGCTGCGGGATGGGGGCCAGCAGGGGTAAGGCTGAAAGGTTAGGCTAGTGGGGCAGCATGGTGCATTCAGACATATAAGGATGCAGAGGTGAGTAGGGGGCCTGCGGTGGCAGGAAGTCGTGCAGTGTAGACTAAAGGTTGCCAGTGTAGACTAAGGCTTGCCAACTCGAGAAAAAATTCTTTTACGGCAAACCTTTTATTGACAACCAAACTTTTTAAACTTTTTTACTGTGGTTGAAGTTAAAACCATAAATCTGAACCCAACCCATCTAACTTGGGCCCGGCAGCAGGGCAGGGCCTGGAAGAAGTGTTACATTTACATTATGTAAAACATATCATTAAAAAAATGTGGCTACAGAAAAGTTTGGCTGTTAATATAAAGCTTGCAGATTGTAAATAATAACTATAAAAAATTCTTGGGTTGGCAATCCTTAGTCTAAAACCTGACCCTCTTGTACTCCCCACCAGATATAATGTGTAGATGAGATTGTGGGTAGATGGACCTCAGATGCCCTGCAGAACAAAGGAGAAAAACAGGTAGCATAAAACTACCTTTGCACTCTGCCTCCAGCTCTCAGTTAAGTACAGTCCAGCTAAACCAAGGAATCTGGCTTGATGTCTGGTTTATGAATATATAATACAAATTATTTTTATTCAGCTCTCTTCCATCTGAGACATGAAATAAAATGTACCCTATTTTATGTGTATGTCATTGCAAAATAATATTTTCTAGTTATAGCAGTCTCTTTAAGAACAGCAGGTCTCTATTACTTCAAATGAGATTAACATTTCTTATACCAGGGTCAGAGTTAGGTCAAGGTTGCTAGATTTTTCTGTTCCAGGATGTGTTAGTTTTGCAGCAGCAGACAGGGAGATAGGCCTTGAATTAATCTGTGACAGGTAAAAAAATACTCTTATTTAGGAATCCAAGGAAAAATTTAGTCTCTGGGATTTGGCAGCTGTAGGCCATAAAGATAGGATTTCTCTAAGCACTCCTTGTTGGATTCAGGCTCATTAGTTTGCATCAATGTTACATACGCTCAACTCCAAGTACAGGAATGCAGACAGAATAACTGTTCTTGGTGACATGAATTTCACATACAAGTCACTCTGGTTCATGGTCAACAATGATGACAAGGTTAGGTAAACTGGAAAGTAATGAATGGTTTGGGAGAGAGAGAACTATCAGAGTTACCTTTGATTATGAGCCTCTTATACAAGAGATGCCTTTCAGATATTTAGCTGAGAGGAAGGTCAGATAACATCAGGAGTTTTTGTCCAGGAACACAGGGGAAAACACTACATAATTCTGGGACAGGGACAGGTAACTTTTAACCATCTTCAAAAGCACATTGCTGATATTGCAAGTCATTTGTCTGTCTGGCAGATTGGTGTAAAACAGGCTTCTAAAAAAGGGCAGCCAGTCAGAAAGAAAAAACTGTAGCCGAGGGAGAGTTTCCTTAGTAGGCTTGTCCACAGGAAACCAAAATTCCCTTATGAGAAATGGGCAGTCTGGGGAAGCCAGTGCCTAATTCATCTCCTAAGGCTGCAGCAGCCCAAGGAATGCTACTGAATCTCTGTCTCAGGAGTCCTTTGTATAGCAAGACTTTTAAATGCCAGACAAATCACCTATGGCAACAATATTTTTGCATTTTCTGAGATGCTAAATAGGTGAAAAATTTTCCTGGCACTCCCTGAAATTGCAAGGGCCAACATACTCAAAACTAGTTGCCTAATGATTTTTTAGGACAGTGTTTTCCAACCAGTGTGCTGGAAGGCACTTCCAGGCATGCTGAGGCATTTTGGGCTGGAGACATGCCCCCTGTCTGGCTGGAGCCACGCTCCCTGCCTGCTGCTGCTGCAGACACAGACAGATGGGGAGCGGGGCTCCAGCCAGGCAGGGGGTGTGGCTCTAGACAAAAATGCTGTCCCGCTGGCCACGTGCCACCTCTTCCCCTCCGCATCTGGCAGGTCGCGCCCCCCCGCCTGACGTGCCACCCCCCACTCTGTGTCCAGTGTGCCATGGTGCTTTTTTATTTAGGTCAGTGTGCCATGGGGCGGAAAAGGTTGGGAAATGCTGCTCCAGGAACTGTAAGGTGCTCAATGTTTTTAGAAAAATCAGGCCACATAAGTCTTGACACATATATATTTATGCACATGTTTACCGTGAGATCATGGGAGGAGTTTCACTGAGTCCAGTAGCCAACATCATATGCTTTGAGTTAATTAAACTCATAAGGCTTTGAAGGGCAAATATCACACGTCTATATGTTATGAATAGATTTTACATTTTAATTTTAGGTTCTTCCTTCAAATCTTGGTACATACCTTTCCAATTATACAATTCTTTCAGAAATACTTTGTTATAAACTAGACTTCAAACAAAATATAGCTTAATAGTCCTAAAATTAATTTTAATGTTATTTCCACACTATTTCATGCATAACTTAGAAAAGTAAACCTGAGATACATTGAACAGTTAAGCCTAATATCATGGTTGGGAGTCTGAGCCAATTTTTATATTAGGAAATATCTGTTATGGGTTGTACAGACACATTAAAAGTCAAACCTTTAAAATGTTATGCACACTCCAAACCATCTGTTATTTTACTCCACAGTAGACACAAAACCTTTTGCATAAGCCTTTAATAAATGATTCCTGAGGAAAGATCTTTAGGTCTGTTTGCATATGAACTATATTCAAATGCTCTTTTAATTAAAAAGAGATGCCCCATAAGAATTTATAATTAAGTTTTCAACTTTAAATACATTCACTGTAAATTTAGTTAAAGAAGGAAAAATATAAATAGAAAACTTACAGGTTCAACAAATTCAAACTTCTTTTTCTCCTGCACTTCTTGAATCTTAAACACATATTCTAATGATGCTTCATAAAAGTTTTGATGTTCTCTGTCAATCTGTGTATCTGCCTAAATTAAAATGAAGTTTATACAAATTAATTTAATATACCAGTACAATTATTACTTTCTATTATTAACCATCACATTTACAACTTAAGGTCAAGATTCCTGGCTTCATTTCTCATCTGTACTCCCTACTTCAACATGTTCCTAACACAAGCCTCCTTTGACTGAAGAAATCTGGGATGTCAGTGGTTCCTGAAGGAGATTGCTCAAAAATGAGGAGATATGCCCTTTACCATGGGCTAAGTGAGCTTGTCTTCACAACACTCCCAACCCAAAGAACTGTGAGAAACAAGACCTCTAGGTTTCTCTTTTAGTACAACCAACTTTAATGCAAAGGTTGTTTGAAATGCATTCTAAGACATTCTGAGTGCCTATACATGAGCCAGGAGGCTGTTCCAATGAGCTGTAATTACAGCATGTTGGAGCAGACTCAATTAATCAAGTCTGCTGGAGAGCGCTAATTAGCATGCTCCAGTTAGCCTCTGCTTGCTGTGTATCAGCATCCCTGCACTTCAAAATGGTGGCGGGAGTCTTTTAACTAAAGCTCATTTGATGAGCTTTAGATAAAACACCTCTGCCGCCATTTTGAAGCACAGGGATGCTGATACATGAGATGCTCTGGGAGCTTCAATTAGAGTGGCTCTCAGAGCTGCTCTAATTAAAGCCACCCACCCTCACCCCGGAAGCATGTGTAAAAATGCCCTTAATTCTTCAACAGTTTAGCAACAGAGCCATTTCAAAATGAGGTAGGATAGAATGTGGTGCATGGTATACATCTTCAGCATACACACTGCTTCTTTAAATACTATTCATGTGGGCAAAATTGGAAGGAAGGCAAACAGATGGTGCAAAGTAGGCAAGGCCAACTACTCTAAGTGTAAAGCAACTAATAAATATTTGGGACATGCAAAAATGGGCTAGCTGCCATAGAAACATAAGTTCTCCCATAGTGTATTAACACTCTATGTCAGGACAAAACAGAAAGGGAAGGAAAGGAGGAGGACAGGACAACAGTTTCAAAAAATGCAGTTATTGAGTAAAGTGACTATACATTTAAGCCAAAATGTTCCGAATTCTATATCTAAAGTTAGGCATCTAGTTCCTGCAGAGTTACTGGGCAAAATTAAAACTAAATAGGAGTTGCAGGGATCAACTGTTTAAAAAATTAGGACACTTATGTAAATTGTTCAGCATAGATTTAGGGGCTTAACATTTGACACTCGCATTTGAAAATATCAGGTCTGGTTCTCCTTCCCTTACTTATCTCATCTGCAGCTTTTCTATGCAAGTTTTTAGGAAAGACTGGACTGAAGAAAGGAAAAGTGGCTTGGGGAAAGATGTTCCTTACCTATGGACAGTTTGGGTAAAGACCCAGAGAAGGGAGTGGGATAAAGGAACAAGACTGGATATGAAGGGCTTACTGGGGATCCTGGACTTTGTACCACATCCAGTTTCAAATACCTTCCTCCAGCTGGGAATTTTAGAAATGTCATACATGAGGGAGTTTCAGAAACTAACAGCAACTGAAAAATAAAACTATTTTATATTCTACAAACACACAGTGTTTTTAGACAAAAAGTTGCACAGCACATTATTTTACAACATGGATCAAGCCCTTTGGGAATGGAACATTTGCTAAATATCTACATTTACATATTAGCAGTTTTTTCATATCATTTTTTGTTCGGTGTTTCTATTTTAAAATAGCAAGTGTCGTCAGAAGACCTGAACCCAGGATTTTCTGGCACCAAAACAAAAAGCTTCTGCACTGGGGCTATAAAATTAATTCCATCAACTAAAAGGAGCAGAAAGCTCTTTATCTTCTTCGTTAACAAGGCACTCGAAGGGACATATCATATTGGCAGTGTAAAACATAAACAGTACTCCCACAACTGGTAGGGAAGAGATGCAGTTCCCAGTTTAATTCCCTTTTTGCAGTTGTTAATAGCTTTCCTCAAAAGCAAGTTCTTTTTTGGGGTTGAACTTGCCCACATTTGGTCCAAGCTCAAACAGAATTTCTTTTTTAATAGGGAAAAATCTGAATAAAATAAACTCAGCCATTTTTAGTTATGTGCATTTAAAAATAATATACTTTTCTGAGAGACTTTAAATTTTGGCATATCAAAATAATAACTAGAAAGTTTAACTGGCTTTTGTTATAATAAACTCCAGCAAGGAAAAACAATCATCTTCAAAGGAAAAGTGTTACTATTTTTCAAGTTATGAGTGTGCAACACTCATATTTTCCAGCAATTAAGAATTCCAGGCCAGATCCAATAAGTTTCAGGGTGGTGTTACAGGCTACCTTTAAACCATTCTGAAGGCACGTAAAATGGGAGTGTCTATGCATTAAAGGGTGTTAAGCTGTTCTAAGTACCCTCTAAGCACTCTAAAGTTATACCACTTCAGGCTAGGGGTATGTTTGAGACATTCTACTTAGCTTGAGCGAAGACATTATTAGTCCACTCCACAGAGATAAAGCAATCAATTTGCATTATCCAGCACCCCAGCATGCATGGCTCTGGCCTCTCTATCCCTAAGCCAACATCCCCACCTGCCCACAGTGGTTATGACTACAGCCCACATGGTACCACACTGCTAGCTTCTAGGACCTCAATAGGGACAGAAGTTACACAAGCTGGTTTAAATGATCAGAAACTGGTTTAAACCTGTAACAGAACAGATGTTCAGTGCACATGAACCAGTTTCAAAATGGCTGAAACAGGTTTAAGATAAACCTGGTTGAATGTAGTATCAGACTTAACTGATTTGGGTCAAACTGATTTATGAAAATTCTGTCCTAGACACCTTCCTGGTATGACTTAAATCATAGTCCCCCAGCATCCCAGCATGCTTTCCAGCAGACAAAGGTTTGGGGAGGAGAGAAAGCTGAGACTGCCCCCACCCCCCCCCAGGCAAACCCTGGCTGGGGTCTAGAGCCGGGGGGGGGGGGGGTTAAAATTTTCTTCTCCCAACTACAGAGCTCCCCTGCCCTACCCT